CAATCAAAAATGATTTCTATATATGGATTTTGCATGTTACTCTATTTGTGTCCACACACACAAAAGTGCACTATAAGTACTTAACAAAAAGAAATTAAAATTATTACTACCTCCATCCCAAAAAGATTGGCCAATTTGACTTTTCATATTATATTTGTGTGTAATTTATAATTATACTCTTATGAAAGATTTTTTAATAAAGAATATGCTCATATAATTTTTATGTTTTAAATAATTTTGTATCTAAAAATATCATTGGTCAAACTTGACCACCATCGACCAAGAAAATTTAAATTGGCCAATCTTTTAAGAATGTGGGGAGTAAAAATGTCATAAAATCTAAAAATGGTTTGGCATTGAGTTTATGTATGAATTTCTAAATAGGTTGCAATAAAATCATTGTATATATAGGTCTAATGTGAATGCAAAAATAGTTGTATTTAAATATATATTTTGAACATTAAAAGGGTAGCAAATGATTGAATATATATTTTCGAGTGTGATTTATGAATGTGTGCGTGTAAGTTTATGTTTTTTTGAAAAAAAGAACATTAACTTTTCGGATCTCATTTAAGAATTTCAAATCTTGGATCTTTGTATAGATCTAGTGATGCATGCAAATGAATCAAAAGTAAAATTTGAGATCTGTTGAAAAATTACCTCTTTGATGCATGCATTAGATTTCAAAATTACCTGCTTGATGGTATGATTGATTAGCTCTACTGATATGAGTTTTGTAGTTGTGTGTGAGCATGCTTCGGAGTTCGGAGGAGATAAAGGAAGCGAAGATGAGAAAGAAGCACAGAATGATTTGTGTAGGTAAAAATCAAAATCAATGCAGTCAAGTATTAGCCCGGTTTAGATGAGTGGAAGAAGAGACATTAAAATAAATGGAGATGAGAAGTGACTAAGAGTCTCTTCTCTTTGCTGAACTCTTTTTCAGCTTATCAAAATTAAGGCATCTTCATCCATGAAATTATTTAGAGATTATGATTGAAGTGATTGGTGATATTATTTTGAAAGACTATCTAGACAAAAAAAATGGTATCAAATATTGAATTCTGAATTATTCAAAGATTATTCCTAAATTTCAATAAACATATCTAATTGAATCATATCTCCTAATTTGGAATAACTAAAATACCTCCCTGAAAATAACAAAAACTCCATAAAAACTAAATAAATACTCCTTAGAGATCATTATTGAGGGGGAATTAGTAATCTTTGACGTTAATTATGTGTCAATGACATGGCAAGAGAAAAACATAAAAACTAGAATACTACGTATTTGAGAAGCATGGATGGGAATGCTCTTATCAACCAAATTTTCCCCTAAACTTGTAACTTTTGATTCACACGTCGAGTTGTGTAATAATCAAAATAAGTAAGGTTGAAGTTATTTTTTAGCTAGATTGGTTGAAGTTATTGTAGATAAACATTTTAACTATTTGTCATACAACTTTTTCTTTATTTTATTACTCTCTCCGTCCCAAAATGATAGTCCTGTATTTTCTTTTTGGGATGTCCCAAAATGATGGTCCTGTTTCCTTTTTTGGAAAGAAAGATGTGGTTAATATCATTTGACTTTATTATACTCAAATCTCAAGCACAACTTTTACCTTTTCAACGACTTTATTAAAACATGTGTCCAAAAGAAATGAGACTATCAAATTGGGACGGAGGGAGTAATAAAATATATTTTGAATATTTTTTTCATAATTCAGCATAATCAGCCAATCTAAATCACTTCAACCATAACTTCATAAATTTCAGCAGCAAAAAAAAAAAAGATTCATCCCATTTCCGTGTTATCAAATGAGGTCTAAGTCAGGATGATAGGGGGTGGGAGTACGAGGGAGGAGGAAAAGGAGTTCAGAAGTTTATTTTTTCTTCTTTTGGAATCACATGTTGTGTAATAGAGAGAGTACTACATAGTTTATTTGGGAACTTGAAAGGGAATGTAATTTATAAAAAGTTATTTAAATAACACTTAAAAAGTTACAATGTTCTTGAAAGGGGGAATTTAAGGAGATGTCAAAATGGAAATTAAGAAATTTGGATATGAAATTTCTTGTATATAATTTGGTGGGGAAACATGTAATTGCAAAACAAAGCATGTTTGATAATATTAATATTGATTGTATGAATTGAATTTGATGAAATTGGTGAACTTTTGACCGCATTAGCTGATTGCTAAAATTTACGAAAATATGAGAAAATTATACTTCAAATATATTAAAAGTGTTCACTTTGTGTACTCTTTTTTTAAAAAAATCATAAACAATTATTAGTATAACTAATTACTCCGTATTATTTTTATAGCTAAATAAAATAATTAGATGGTTAACATATGTTGTGAAACAATTACAAATTATGTTGTACAAATCTACAAGTTAGTATTTGAATTCGTTTGGTTATTTGTATGTTATGTTTACTTACACTTTTATTCAAATTAATTATATTATTAGGAGCATATTTAAATAACGAAAAAACATAACAACACAAGTACATTACTACATTATTGCCCCGTGCATCGCACGGGGACAATACTAGTGAATTATTATTTTTAGATGTTTCAAGTTAAGGATAAAGAACTAGTTAAGAGAATCCACAGCTAGGAGAATCCATCGATCACTAGTAAGGGTAACTAGTTATATAGTTAAAATTTGTCTTTAATATATAGCAACTAGCTTTCAAGCCCGTGCGATGCACGGGCAGTATGTAATTTAGCTAATTTGAAATTTAATTTCTATTGGATCACATATAATGTGATTTAAAAGAAAAATAAATTTAGTCTAATATAGAGTTTGTTTGATAATACTAAAGTAAATAGAATTAACTTATTTTGCTGAAATTGATTGAATTCTGGTTAAATAGGTGGAATCTTCTGAACCATGAAAAATATATGTGAAATATATTCCATTTGTGAAACAAAGAAAAAAAATATATGAAAAAAAAGTTAAATTGGTCTTCTACATAAGCATCTCAAGTAAACATAATTGTTATGAACCCAATAATAATAAAAATCTATATTTCTTAATTGTTAGATCTTACAGTTTACTCATTGATAAGAACGTTTTTAATTGAATTAAATTTTCGGATTTGATTTGGTATGAATTGATGTGGTCTATTAGATGTCTGTTTTTTATTTGACTTATTGTTATAATTATTAAAGTTTGATCTGATTTAATCTGGAACTGAAATCAATCCAATTAAAAATAATCTATTAAAATAAAAGTAGGAATTCATAAACCTATAAAGATTTTCTAATTTGGATTAGGAATATATTTCAAGAGTGAAGGCATATTTGAATTTTAGGTGTAAAATAAAGAAACAACCAAAAAAATTTACTTATTTGGCTAAGCTAAACATATTTACTTGTGAAAATATATATACTTTATGTTGGTTATAATTTTTAACTTCATTTTAATTATTTACTTATTTGAAGCTTACTAATTTATTAATAGGTGTCAAATTAATAAGTAAACTAATTTGCATATTTGTTTCTATTTAATTCGGTGTAGTAAACTAATATAAATTAGTTTCCATATCAATAAACGTTATTAGAATTTCACTTTGATAACCAAAAATTATTTTACTTATTTGAAGCTTACCAAATTAATTAAGGTAGATTTATAAGGATTTTTGTTTCCAAACCAATATGCAATCAAAAATAGAATCTAATAAAAACAAAAGGTATAAAAATAAGTAAATAATTATTATATATAATGACATGGCAGGATTATGTGACGCTTTGCTCTTAAAAAATTCCTCTTATATATATATATTGATTAGCAATGCTTACATACAATTTTTAACTTACATCTATTAGACAATTAACTTCATTAATGGTTGATTTTGTTTCACTGAGAAGGCATATATATAGAATTGTTTAGAGGTGAAATAGTTTTATAGCAGTATTGTTGAAGTCATGTTTTGAGAAATAGAAATATTATAGAATACACAATTAACATTAGAAAATACAGTTTAAGTGGGCTGAATTTTTAAAAAAGATTACAACACAATCTTAGTACTATTTCCGCTTAGTCGTATATACGAAGTAGTATTTATGTTAGTTTTTTAATAGTTATGGTAAAACAGTTAATTTAGTTGAAATGTATTTAAAGTAAGAATATGATGTATTTGGTTTAGGTTGATAAAAATTCAAACAACTACCATATACTCCCTCCGTCCCGCTAACATGGGACAAGAGGAGTGATGATGTTTTTATTTGAACTGTAATTCGTCCCAGACCAGACAGATCAGACTTGGATAGTTATAAAAATACAAAGAAACCAAACCAAACCAGTACAGACCAGACTAGACCAGACCAGCAAATTACAGTCCAAGTAAAAACATCTTGACACGCAAACCAATAAATAATGGTTTATGTGGTTGATATTGAATTAATAAAGTAAAAATAAAGTAAGAATGATTTAGAGCCGCACAAACTTTACCAAATTTGGTATGAAACAATCTTAGTAGGACGGATGACTAAGGTAAAATGGAACACTCATAGTGAGACAGAGCTAGTATTTGTTTGAGTGAGATGAGGATCGAAAAACATTATACTTGGGGGGTTCAATATTGTTTCGAAAACCAGTTTTAATAATAAGGGAAAATAGTTTGTTCGGTAAGAACGGAATGTTAAGGAATAACAATTTTTTTGAGTATCAAACACAGTAAAGGTCTGATGGTTACCCAAAATTGTTGCTTATAGCAATTAAAAACTACTCCGTAATAAATAAATAAATAAATAAAAAGTTAATCTAGCGATTCTCAAACAGATAAGGAAAAACAAGAAACATACTGAATATTTTCTTTAAAAAATTAAAAATAACTTTAATGTATGTATTCCGTATTTCATACGAAGTACTGAAGTAGGAAGGGTCCAACACAGTAAAGCCTAAAGGTCCACCAAAAGTTTCTGAACAAGATGCTCTTTGTTTGTCATACGGAGCAGTATATACAAAGTATTTATAAAACCACATTTGATAATACTTGCACATTCCAAGCTTATTCATAATTTACGAAATTTATTATCAACCACATAATTACAATTTGTTTGATATGCATTCATTTTCTTATTTCCAAAATCCCAAATATTGTGAGACGAAGTAGTAATTAATTTTACCCAACATATTTCAATTACATTGAAATAAAGTTACTTTGCACGTTTGTACGATATACATCTTAGTAAGATAACATCCCTTCAGATATTTGTATTTCTGATTTCCAGTTCCAACCTAAACCATTTCAAACTCAGTTAGGAAATAGGAACTGGCCCTTTGCAGCATGCATATCTAATAAGAACATACAATTGAGAGAAGATGAGGTGATTTTTGTACTTGGGGTTTGTTTTCAATTTTTTTAGCTTTCATTGAAGTCCATACACTAGTAAAGCTCCGATTCCACCGAGCCCAGCTAAAAGCCCGATGATGACTCCGATCGGAGGCAGCCCCACACCGATGGGTTTTCCGGTGTTCACGTCATATCTTACAAACCTCTTCTTAGGCGCTCTGCACTGAGGACATGTGTAGCCCTCCGGCTGTAGAGGGGAACAAGATGACAACCAAAACCATATTAGAAAACGTACATGCTAGGTGGGACTAAAGGTTTTGTTTCAACAGTTAATTTTTGTAAACCAGTAAACGTGAGCATCATTCTTGGCTAGTTAGAGTAAATGGGAGAACTAGTTTAAATGTGAAATGGTTTAACATGTCATGCAAAACCTCCAACAAACACATCTGGATTGATACTTTAAGCTAACTAACAAAGTTTTTTAAGGCTTTGTTTGGATCTTAGGAAATGCTAGTTAAAGGAAAGATAACGCATAGAAATTCGGATCTACTTCAGGAAATGCAAAGTGAAATATGGTTGATATTTTTGAAATTCTAACATATGTTTACATTTCTTAGCAATTCTTTTCTTTCCCTCCAAACTACTCCTATACTTTCCTTATGACCCCTAGAAATCAAGACAGCAAGAGTAGACAGAGTAAGGGAGGCTTGCCTGCTCTTCGAAAGGCTTTTGCATTGTGTAGATGTATCCGCAATCAAGGCATATATGTGTTGCTCGCGCCTAAGGAAAGCACCATAAACACACAAAAACACAAAGAAGAAAAAGGAATGGACTGTCGGATTCATTGAGCACAGAATTAAGGAAAGGAAAGATGCAAAACTGAAGTACCAAACTTACCTTTTGAGCTTCAGTCAACTTCCTTCCAAAGCGAGGAGGGGCCGGTCGCTTATTCAATCTCTTAACATCTACTTCAGCTCCCCTGCACCAAAGTTAGGTCCTAGATAAAATCAAAGTGAAGATAATCTCTTAGCTGACATTACATTTATGTGCACATCTCAGCCATCTCTAGTTATATGTGATAAAGAACTGAACAGTGTGATAAATCTCGACTCAATGTTTAGGCTAATGTTAGAAACCCTAGCAATTACAGAATGTTCACTAACAAACAGAAGAAGGGTAACTCAGAAAACTGAAAGCTTCATTAATGGAGAATCCGAGTACACAGTCCCAAAGAAGGAGATAAACTCCAACTTCCCAGTCCCAGACCAAATGAGTCTAAACAGCCTCCTTACTACTTCCTCTTCCCATCTATTTATACTAGAGACCCTTATTACTAATATTATTATTATTACTTCTAATATTATTCTAATAGGTAGGTCCCTATCAATACTCCCCCCTAAACATCCACCTTGCCCTCAAGGTGGTCGGTAGGAGACAGCCCAGATCTTCTGCTTCTTCTTCTTCCTTGCACCCCTTCCTTCTCAATATCTTTCAAATGTCAGGATCCTTAACTTCTTGACTTGAATCTTCCTTCTCACTGCTTCTCGCAAAAACAACATTAGCTCCTTTTTCTTCCAATCATCAATATTAGGCCCGTATCTTTGATCATGCTGGTACTGATCTTTACCCACCATCCCTTTCTCATTCTTCCATGTGCTAATAGCTCTTGCTACAGGATATAACTCAAATCTTTGAGTTTCAGTTGCTTCACTCCTTGAAATTTCAGCATCTTCAGTAGCCAACTTATTTGAGAAGAAAAACCTCAAAGGTTTTAGCAGGTAGGTAAGGATATCCACTATTCCAGTTGCATTTCCCCTAACTGAAGAACAGGAAAGCCTATTATCCATGCAAAACTTCCAAAGTAGGTTTTCTTGAAGGTAGACAGATTCTTCATCAGAAGAAAACAATTCACTTTTCAAGCCTTGTTTCAGCTTCACCTGTCCATTTGCTACAGCCTCCCATCTATTAACAGTAGCCCGAGTAGTAGGATCCCGGGCCATACTGATTTGATACAACTGATATTCAAAAATATCAACAACATACTTCCCCATCCCTTTCAAAAAAACAATGGTGCTCAACACATTGTCCTCTTTCCAGTTCATACCTCTTTTCATGAGTATTTTGTGTCTTGGATCAATACTTGCCATAAGAAACTTGTAATCAAAACCTACACTTCTATCTTGAACAGGTATACAATCTACTGGCAGTCCCCTGACCTCTTCACTAACGATTTCCACACCAGTCACATATCCCTCAAATTCTGTAACATTCCCAGAAGTCTCTCCTTCCAACCCCTTTTTATTACCCATCATAGAAGTAATACCCTCATATCTGAAACTATCAAACTTGTTCAATGATTTCAGCCCTTCCAAAGAAATGTTTAATGGATGACAATATATCATTTCAGATTTTAAAAGATTCAGCCAGTTCATCTCCTGAACGAAACTAGACTTGTCAGCATCATGAATCTGTTTGGGATTTCCAAAAATGATAGCAGATTCTCCCGAAACAAGCCCAACCTCCTCCTCATGTCTTTCCTCCTTGATTTTGTCTTTCTCATTCACTTGCTTGATTACAGGTTCATTTGGTTCCATCTGGGTTTTCTTTGTGGACTGGTAAATTTCTAGCACTGATTGAGAAACTTGTGAACGAGAAATTCTTTGCGACCTCAATGACTCCTGTTTTCGCTGCCTGCTTAAAGATGATTCCCACAAATTGAATGAAGAAGTTCTCGATTGAGAACTGGAAGAAGTTCTTCGTGACTTCAATGAATCTCGGCTTTCTGTCTTCCCTGTCTTCGGCCGGCGTGTAGGTGGAAAATCCCTAATCAAGTCTTCCTTTAGAGCCTCCCAACTATCTTCTCTCTTTTGAAAATTCCACCATTGAAACCAGCCATCTGCGGCTTCCCCCATTGCCTTTGCTGCCATGTCCACTTTAAATCTTTCTGCAATAGCTTGGACTCGGAAATATCTTTCCATCCTTTCTATCCATTTGTACGATTCATCCTCGTAGAATAGAGGTAATTTCTCTGTCTTTGAATTAGCTGAGTTCCGAGAAACTGCTTTAGAAGAAGATAGTGAACTGTGAGAATCATTTGGTGAAGAAGAAGATTCTCTTCTCAATCGTGTCTTCCTTGAATGCGAACTGATGTCCGTTGAGAAAGTCTGATGCGAAGAGCGATGATAAGAATGATGAGAAGAACTCTGCGAAAAGCAATGTGAAGAGCTTGGCGAAGAAACAGTTCGATCGCCAGATTTTCTGCGATGCCTTAGATCTTCTGATTCCTCTGGATTCGCTGACTCTAGCGAATTATGATGATTTCTACGATGCGTGTGAGGATCGCGATCACGCCTCTATGCAGAATCACCCGATTGATTATCCGATCCTTTAGAACTATCTTTATACCTCGTATGCCCATGGTGTGACGTACGGTGCGATGAAGTCGATTTATGCGATCGACTCCCTGATCGACCTGGAGACCTATTATGCAAATCCGCGATACTGGCTTGCATCGTGGCCAGCGTAGTCGCGATACTAGTTTGAAACTCCCGCAGACTTCTATCCATACTCGCCTGCCTCTCACGTTGACTTCTTTCCAATTCCGTCACTCTTCCATCCATCAAGGTCATCCAGCGATCAATTGTCTCTAATACCAATGTTAGAAACCCTAGCAATTACAGAATGTTCACTAACAAATAGAAGAAGGGTAACTCAGAAAACTGAAAGCTTCATTAATGGAGAATCCGAGTACACAGTCCCAAAGAAGGAGATAAACTCCAACTTCCCAGTCCCAGACCAAATGAGTCTAAACAGCCTTCTTACTACTTCCCCTTCCCATCTATTTATACTAGAGACCCTTATTACTAATATTATTATTATTACTTCTAATATTATTCTAATAGGTAGGTCCCTATCAGCTAACTGTTAGAATTAAGAATATAAAGGACATGCCATGTTCAACAATGCTGTATGTCAACAACAAAACTTATATTGGACTTCACATTTGTTACTTCTATTATGAAGCTTTTCCTATAATATTACTAAAATAAAAGCTCATGAACAAAAATATGAATACATGGTCACCATAGTCAATGCAAAACTTCACCATGGTCACTGCAATATAGATTTGAGCGTTAGTGTGGGCACTATCGCCACTATGATAATACCTAAATACCTAATGCCATTGCGTATAAAAATACATGTTTTTTATTCATTTGTTTCAATTCAGTCATATCTAAACAGAAAGAAACACTAATAGCCATTTCGAATTTGAACTATGTAGTAATGGTACATCACTCTTAAAACCTTTTTGAGGCCCCAAGACTGAATCAATGCCATAGTATGTGAATCACTTCTATCACAAGTCTACTCATAGTCAATCCTCAAATATCAAGTTGTCCTACGTATTCCAATGTCCATAATCAACTTTATGCCGAACGCTGAGCAGAGTGGTAGAGTTGGGTCCTGACCTGCTAACGACGAAGTATACAGAATTGGGATTGGCCTGGATTGCTGTCTTTGTAAACCCGAGCTTGTCCGCAGGCCAAAGTTCATCCCCAAAAAAGCTGCTGGTGTAGACCACCTGGTCACCAGCTTTAAGCCCTGCTTTGGCAGCATTTCCACCATTTTCTACCGCCTGTATCATAAACCTCATAAACCATTAACCTATAACCTTGCTTTCTTACTAATTACAAAATTACAGTTCAAACTCAAAATCCGTTCCAGATTAAACATATTACTATATTAGCCTGCTTGGTAGTTTTAAAACTTAAAAGTGACAAATCATGGAACATTGAAGTCCATGAATTCATTTTATTAATGTTATTGTTTTTCTATCAATTTGAATGACTTGCCCTAGCTAAGCAATTTAATAGCTACGTTGCAATATACCAAGATTCCCAACTCCTAAGCTTGAAGCTTTTTAACCTTATCAGGACCCAATTTCACGTTTATGCTTAATTAATGAGATGGCAGCAAGAATGAGGAATTACTTACAGTGATGACAACTCCACCGCCAGATTTTTGACCAAGAGTGAGTCCCAAAGGCTTATCAACTTCAACCTCAATGTTCTTGGCAGCAGTTCTTGCGTTAATCTCAAAGCCTCTTGCTTTTCTTCTTCTTGATAAGCTCAAACTACCAGGACCAACCAAGACCAAATTCGAGATATCCCTTTTGTAATCTTGAAATGATAGCCCTTGGAAACTAGTTTTCTACCAAATATGTGATGAACGGAATAAGAAACCTGAGAGAATAGTGGTACAAGAAGCAAATAAAGGTCAGGAAAATGGGAGATCACCTGGCAGTGAGCAATGTAGGAAGCGGGCTTGCTGACTGATGTGCCTCTGGAGAATGCGGCGGAAGAGGTGCCGGCGGCAACAACCGTTGCTGACATTTCTCAAATTTACACGTATTTTAGATATGGCTTAGAGAAATATAGGTGAATATATGTGTCACTTGTGTGGATAGAAATGTTGGGAAGCTTTAGGTTCCAGATGTCAATTGTGCGGTCAGACATGTCCGCGACGTTGGTCACTTGTGTGAATTTTCCACTTGGGCGTGATAAATACATAGGCCTTGTTTGGTAAATGGTTGTTAGCTGTTGCTGGTAGCTGGTTGTGTCAGCTGTTTCGCAACAGCTGGTTGCGTTAGCTGTTTTGATCGACTGGTTATGTTGGCTGATTATAAATAACTGTTTGGTAAAATTGGCTCTTTCGAAATGGCTGATAGAGTGTAAATTGAACCACCCAAATGAAGAAGCTGCTCCCCTTAGCTTCTTCCACAATCCATTTTTTCAGCTTTTCAAACTCAACAAGCTAATTTTAAAAGCCATTTACCAAACATTATTATTAGCTTCTTTGACTAATCAAACAGTTGAAATGGGTCAAACAAGCTAAAAGGTGGCTGATAAGCCATTTGCCAAACATACCCATAGTATTACGTACTACCAAGGTCTCATTAGACTTTGCACCTTTTACTTTTTTATTATCTCTATCAACTTTGCCATTTTTTCATTAAAATAACTATTTTGTGGTTTTACTTATTTCTTTTTTCTCTGCACAAACTTCAAATACACAATTTTTACTATTCTTATTTTTCACCTAACTTAAAGAGGACAAAGTCCATTGGGACGAAGGTAATATAGAGTATGTATTTTTTGACTTATCAAACTTATCTTTTACTCTCTAAGTTATATCTTTTCGACATGTCCGACGTTGGTCACTTATATTTTTTTTTCTTTTACTCTCTCCATTCCTCTAACTTTGTCATGTTTTATCTTTTCTGTCCGTCTCATTAAGTTTGTCTCATATCATATTTGATAATATTTGGATGTTTACGATTCATTCTTACTTTATTCATACTTTATCAATTTAATACCAACCACACATTTCTATTTTTTCTTAAAAATCGCACATCCCTTTGTCCCAAACATAGAGGGGCGGATGTAGTAGTATTTTGACTAAATTCGCACAAATGTTTACAAACTAAATAAAATGGTAAACAATACATACAAATCAATCATAAAAATATACATATATGCACTACTAATTACTGCATATCATTAATCATGCATTTTCTTAAAGTATATCACTTCCTTGAATGTTTTATACAACATTGAAGTTATATGAGTCATATTAACTTATGGATTAATATTCAAGCAATCAAATTTCTCATATAAATGTAATCTTATTATGTACAAAAAATGACCATATTTCTAATAGAGATGTGACACGTACATGTAACCTCCAATGCATTTTTCTTAATGCTTACATTAGCTCAAAGTAGCATGAATTAATTTATAATAATATAAATAAGCATTAGAAAGACAAAGAAATGTTAACGAATAAATAAAGATATATATGACACATAATCAAGACAATGAAGACTACTCGGAGCACATTAAACAAGAAATTCCAAAAACAACTTAAGAATGCTACTATCGTGCCAGCTAGAATTGATTTATATCAATGATGATATTTAAAACAATAGAAATATTGATATGTATCAATATAAGTAGTATAAAATATCACATAAATTGCACATTTATTTAACAAATTTACCATACACATAAACATATATGTAATTTTATTATCTCATAAATAGATCATATTATAAGTATGAACTATTAAAACATTTTTGAATATATGGTGAAAATATATGTTACCTTAGAAGCCAATCTATGTTACAAACAAATGATTTAAATAGTACAATTGGATTCAAAATATCATAAATGATAGTAATGATTTATATATGTGCCAATTAAATTCAATTTATGACATTAATTGAGCAATAAATGGTCATTCTCTAACCGTTATTGACTAATAAATATGCTTGAATTATACGTTTCAAATAGCTAGTAAAAGACTAGTAAACATGATTAAAAAATCCTCATTGACAATGGACCGTGTTTCTAAACTCCTGCGTACTTACCTTTCATTTTTTATGGTTTTCACAACTAATTAGTAAATGACTTTATAAACTAAATGAAATACAGAGTATATACGAAGTAACATTTATATACTGAGTGTGCTGAAATTGAACACAAGAGTGCAATGCAAGGACAACATAATTTTAAATTGAAAAAAATGTATGGAACCAATACTCATTTGATGAGACAGACGACAAGATAAAAACAAGTTCTCAATCTCAAAGAAACTAAATTTTGTTTTTTTTTTGCGAGAAAAGAAAATAGTTATTTGGATGTATGGATCAACTAGATCAAAACATTTTTAAACAAAGTAGGTATACATACACCTCAAGAAATGAATTACACGTATGCACGACAGTTCAAGATAATCAACACCATATGAACCAATTCTGATAAAGTATTTACCGCATGCACTTTTCTCCTTTTAATACGAAGTACATAACAAGAGCAGGTATTATGTTTCATATATTGTTCAAATATATTATTTAGAGTTCCAAAATTTTCCATGCACAAATCCAAGTATATAATTCATGAGGAAGATTCGTATGTTAAAAGTATAATAAGACAGTAAATCTTTGAGATATTTAAGTTTAATAATAATAGTAATAAAGACTAGCAACGTTTAGGAAATAAATTGACTGGCTGCAAGTCTGCAACGGTTACAACGTAAAGGCTCTTGTTTTGATTAGGAAAACAAAAATCAAATCAATGATTTAATATCAATTAATTGGTCCAGAAGTAATAATCTTTAAAGTATTGATTACTGTAAAAAAAAGCAATAATCTTTAAGGCACTGAATAATTTTTCCTACAAAAGAAGCAAAAATTTATTCATTTGAAATATATGCAGTATCAGTTTTTTTTTCAATGCTCAACCGAAGCACCATCCATGATTATATTGTGTGACTTGAAGTCACTGGTCATACTTATAATTTCATGCTAACTAATTGAAAAGATGAATTTCAGTTCAATTCATCGAGTAAGGATAAAGTGGAACTGTTGATTCATCAATAATAAGATAAATTTTTTCTTGAGGAAAACTTCGTATTTAATACTATGTATAATTATTTTATTTTTGTCTCGCTATAGCAAGAAAAATATATACTGAGTATAATTCTCATAAAATATTCATTAAAAGATAAGAAGGGATACTTATTTGAGTTAAAACTTCGAACAGGGCATCGATAAGGACGTGCCACCCACTGCCGGAACAGGGAGCATAATTAAATCCCTTGGCATCATCCGGAGCAGAAGAGCTGGCGAAAATGGAGACTGTCTGAACGGCCATACGGGTCGCAGCACATACGGGAATACGGGATGGCCTGACGCGAATCCTCAAATGTTGTTAGCAAGCGACGTTCCTGGCTAGACTGAGGGCAGAGAGGGCTTCAATTGGTGGCAATACACTTCAGTGGTGTGCTTATTTCAGCCACGGTGCAGTGGTGTTTGACGAACCTCAGAAAGGGTTGCAGCCGGTTGAGGCAGACGGCGGAAAATTGGAAAAGAAAAGTAGGGTTACAGGTAGCGGAAGCTATCGTGCTGGTAATGTGTCATAAACCAAAATGCAAGCAATTTATTCATTCTCATAGTGTGCATATATAAGGGGAGGGGAGCTACCGCAGAGACAAGACTTCAATCGCAGACTCCAAATGAAAGCCCTCATTCGTCTCATAGATACAACACAGATGCCCCTCACAACAACAAAAAATATAAATCAATAACAGTCCCAAACCATCACGAAGAAATATTCAAGCACATAATACCATTACCTCAACAACTCTTCATTCTCGACGACCCAGAAAACCTTTCACAAGCCGCAACGTCAGAAGACCTTCAATTGCCTTTCTCTAGCCATCGCGATGGTTTCGAACCTCCTCCGCACACCAGGTGAACTCCAAGGATAGGCGAACACTACACGACTCAGCTGCAAACCGGATGACTCCTCACGCTCTCTTGTTGACGAAGGGCAACATCGCATTTCTGAACCCTAGCCCGCTTCAGGGTCGGGCGAAGTTCAGGGTTCCATCGACATTTATTCCTTTGGTGTTATTATGTTGGACCTAAGGTGGATCCCTCTTTCTTGGACTCTATCGGAAATCTGAGGCCCACTCCTATAGTCACACCCTTTTATTTACAATAGGTTTGGCTCCTATTTCACGGAGCTAGGTTTTATGTCCTCTCCGCACATTGTAATTTGCATTATATGGGCTCGTACATATGAGCCGGGCTAGAGAGTAATGGAGTATTTACATAATGGACATCCATAATTATATAACAATATGGAGTATTTGTCAATTAAAATTCTAGGAGTAATATTCCGGTCATTTCTTCTATAATCTATATTATCTATCTATATTATATAGGGTTTAATGCACCAAATCCCACTGTGATATGAAAATCCGACGCATTAACCCTCTGTGATTTAAAAAATGTGTCAAACTCCATTGTGTTTTAAATAATTATGCGCAAAATCCCTTCTATGAACAAATTCAATAATCAAATATAAGAAAAATGATTAACATTTTTGTATGATTTAGAGATTTTGACATATTTACTTGCATATTCAATCAGAATATCAGGAAAAGTGATCTCAAAATCATTAAATTTAGTCATAAAAGGGGTTCTATGCATGATTAATTAAAACACAAGGGGGTTTGATCACGCATTTTTCAAATCACAGGGGGCTATTGCGCTGAATTTCTATATCACGAGGGGGTTTGGTGAATTAAACCCATATTATATATAGTAAAACAGAAAAGTGTGGGGTAGATTTGGGCGGGATTTTGAGCGGGAATGGCAGCTCCGGATGATATTTGTCCGTTTAATTATATTTATATATAGTAAAACAGAAAAGTGTGGGGGAGATTTGGGCGGGATTTTGAGCGGGAATTGCAGCTCCGGATGATATTTGTCCGTTTAATTATGTTCTAGATTATTCACAATAAATGCATTAAATATTGTGTTTGGCTGTTTAACTTCTCAATGTAATAAGTGGTATTTGCTCTTTGGAATTCCAATGTTGGAATACTTACAATGTAGTGCACCGTAATTAAAAGAACTCATACGAAGTACATTCTATTTAATATTTTGCACTATTCTATGCGGCTGTT